GTTTAGGTCTCTTTGCAAAGACCAAAATTTTAGTCTTGCTATAATTGATTTCGAAAGCTTCTTCAGAGCAATAGCTGGCCAGAGCACTCATGACTTGTTTGAGTCCAGGAAGGATTCTTATTTCAAATCCATCTGGACCCTTACTCCATTTGTAACTTTCCAAAATCAAAGTTGTAATCACCCTTTTGCTGTTTATTCCAAATTAAATTTGGAATTTAATTAAAACATTTTTTAAAAAATCCTTAAACTTGTATTTAAAACTTCTTTCACTAAGGATCGAAGGAAACTCACCCAGTGCTGGAAAACTTGTCGATCCAAAGGTTCCTAATAGCTGAAAAGAAGTTAACAAGCAATTTCCAAAAATGATTAGAAAAGGAAGTATGCAAACTTAGTGTCCGTTCGAAAGCACCAACTGTGGTTTGAACAAGATGGCTTTCCCTCATCTCCCAGAGCTCTAAACCCACCAAAGACTACTGTCTTGCAGTCTCCTCATAAGGAGCAGCTGTCTGGAGCACTTGTAGGCAATCTGAAGTCCCCTCCTTGTCCAGAGAGGAATTATGAAGAGCCGGTCTACTCACTGGTCTACTTCATTCCACATCAGTTGTCAGCTCCATTCAGTTCACCATTTCTTCCCTGGAAGTCAGGGAAGTAGGGCTTCATGAACTTGCTGTCACCCATTTTGACTTTATCTCTTCTGAAGATGCCCCTTTCCCCTTCTGATCAAGATCTCCACAGGACAGGGAGAAGAGGTTCAACATCGCCTTCCTAGCAACAATCCTGAAGAGAATTGCCTCATTTTTCCTAAAGCCAGTGGCTACAGAGGCAGGATTTTTGTAAAGCTTCAGTTAAAAACATTTCTCTATTCTATGATCCCTACCTCCATGCTTAAAAAATGATATAGTTGCCGACTATATATTTGATGTTTCATGAAGTGTAATTCTACAAAGACACATCCAATTTTAAAACAATGAATATATGCTGATTTTTCAAAGTATACTGAAACTGCTTTTAAGGGGTAGTGCAATATTAGAAAATAAATGAACTGCATGGAGACCAGTTCTGTCTCCTGACAGCTGAATCATTCCTTTTAATGCTATCTAATATTGCCATCTGGCTGCTCTGAAGTACACCTGTGATTTATTCCTCTTCAATTTGAAAAAGATCGGAAAGGCAAGGAATTGAATAGATGTCATGTAGACTTTGGGAAAAATTGTGCCTGATTGTAGAATCTTGTGTTAAACTGTATGTCTTCATTACTAAGGGAGTAAGGTAGTGTGCCCAAGGGGCAAATTAGGGCTTTCATTTAAATCTCATTGATTTCAACAAAATTAAGGCATGACTTAGTTCAGATCTATTCCATGATGTTCCCAAGTACCTGCAGATTTTCTCAGATATTTTATCTTCCCTCTAACCGAAACACACTGCTAGGGGTGGGAGGAGAGAATATACTGGTGATTAAACAGCTAGAGGATGATCTACACCATTACTGTTTATTGTTGTTTACAGTTTTATTGAGGTTGTTATTATGTTCCTTGTATTGATTTTTAATTTGTATACCTCCTCAATCTTCTGGAGTGACACAGTTTATAAATCTTAAAAATAAATAATAAATACATTGAACTGCTTACCCTGCCTTTTGTTAACAGCTAACTGTGACAATTTCAGTGAATGATAGCCTTAATCTATTTGTTCTTTCATCCTATGTTCATGGATCACTGTATTTTTAGGCAAAATTGCAAATCAATGCTTCTATACGCATAAACTAATATTATTACTTTGACTTTGGAGCTAGCCCAAACTGTGATCAGAAACATAAATCAGTTCTTCCAAGTGGAGTCCTGTAGACAAAACAGCATTATCTATGCACAACAGTGAAGTATCAGCAGATTCAGGGAAGTTTGCAGAAGTACAAATAATGGTATCAAAACTCTTAGAAACAAAATGCAAGAGAAAAAAGGACAAAACAAGCCAGATAGAACTGAAATATTGAATTGCATGCAGCGTTGTAGTTTTCTGGAAATTGTTGAACTAATTTGTATAAGGTATTTTACATCAGAAAGAAAACTAAGTTTTCTTCTTCATTTTGAC